TAACTAAGGGTATTCAGTAAATGATCTGATCTGCTTGTCCTTATCTGCATTGGTAATTTATTCTTTTATCTTTTGTAATTCTAGATGATGTTGATGGGACGGAAAAATCTTTTTCCTCTGCTCTCTTAGGTTCAGTAACTGGGGCCCTGCCAACTAAACTGACAAAAGACAGCCCTGGCTGGTTTGGCTCAGTGGTAGAGCATCAGCCTGTGGACCAATGAGCCACAGGTTCGATTCTGGTCAAGACCACACACCTCAGTTGTAGTTCATCCCCAGCTTTGGTTGGGGTCATGCAGGAGGCAACCAGTCTATGTGTCCCTCTCATGTTGATGTTTCTTTCTCTCTCCCTTTCTCTCCCTCCCACTCTATCTAAAGATAAATAGAAAAATATCCTCAGGTGAGGATTTAAAATAATAATAATAAATAAATAAACTGACAAAAAACACAGATTAACAGAAGGAAAAGGTTTACTTCATATACATATGGGAGGGTCTCACAGAAGTGATATGAAAAACCATGAGGAGTAATGGACCCCTGGCCGGTTTGGCTCAGCAGTTGAAGTGTCGGCCTGTGGACCAGAGAGTCCCGGGTTCGGTTCCTGCTAGGGGCACATACCAAAAAAAAAAAAAAAAAGAAAAACCATGAGGAGTAATGGAAACTTATGTACCATTTTAACAAAGGGAAATATGTTTGTAGAGAAATGACAAGACATAAGAAAAGGGTTTTGAGCTTCTAATTCTCCCATGTTTATGAAGTTTAGAATTATTTTATAAAATTAAAAAATTTTATTAGGATATTCAAAAGTAACTTTTATTAAAGTATACATTTTGGGGATTTTAATTGAGAAAAAATTATATTGGTCAATTAATTCTGAGGAAATTGATAACCTATATCATTGCATCTTCCTATCCACTATTTGTCTTTTCTGTGCCTTGGCAGCTTCATGCTTTTCCTGATACAGGTCTGGTACATTCTTAAGTTTTGCCAAAATATATATTTTTAAATTTCTATTGTGGATATTTTTTCTTCCATTACTTATTCTAACCAGCCATGTTTATAGCTAAAAAATCCATTCATTTTTTGTATATTGATATAGTAATTGGCTATATTTCTGAATTTTCTTGTTAGTAATTTTTAAACTGCTTTTATTAAACTTTTCCTTCATATAATCATCTGAAAATAATAATAATTTTGTATTTTCTCAATTATTATATTTGTTTCATTCTCTTACCTGGGAAAGAGAGAAATAAATTATAGTTGATCCTTGAACAACATAGAGGCTGGTGCCACCCCCCCAGTAGAAAATCCACATATAACTATTGACTCCCCCAAAACTTATCAAAAGTCCCTTATTCCTCAGTATCCAATGAGACTGGTTCCAGGACCCCTGTGGACACCAAAATCTCGGGACCCTCAAGGTCCTTATATAAGATGGTGTAGAACAATGCATAAGGTCAGCCCATCTCATCTCTAGATTCCTCAACAATATTTTCCATCCCTAGCTAGTTGAATCCCCAGATGCTCAACCTGAAAACACAAAGAGCCAATACTATATTTATTGAAAAAAAACCTGTGTATAAGTAGACCCCCTATTTCAAACCCATGCTGTTTAATGGTCAATTATAATTAGAACACTGAGGTTGCTTAAAAATGTAGAACTTAGATGAACCTTGCAGGAATAGTAGTGTTTGGACTTGGAAAGAGAGGAGGATGACTGAAATACATCAAACTGATCTGTCCTACTCCCCACTAATGAAGTTAATTGATAGAACTGATTGGTGGCTCCTGACATTACACCATAGAAAAATTCACATACTAGTGATTTGGAACATATTGTGTTCATAGTAAGAACTAAAGATAGTATTATTTTCTCCGTTAACATCACAACTGTTATCTGAAGACTGTCATTGCCAATTCGCTGCTACAGGAGTCCCCAATTTGGGTTGTGGTGAGGTGAAAGAGACTTTATTCAGTGCAAACAGCTGAAGAACAGTACAGATGTGAAACATCTTGGATGAAGAATAGCTTAATTGTGAGGCAGTAAGAGCCAGGCAACCCCAGTGTTACAGCTCTGGTGTTACAGTTCCAGTAAGACAGTGCAGTCAATATTGCAGCTCCAGCTGGAGAAAATGCAGTCTTTGATGAAAACTGAAATTGCTCTCCAACACAGAGGTGAAGCTGGCTTATATAGAAAAAAGCTCCTGGTCCCTGATTGATCCATTCTTATGTAAATGAGGACTCCAAATCCTCACAGTTTGGTTGAAGATGTAAATGAGGATATAGATGCACAGCTTCAATTGGACTAGAAAGTCTGTCCCATTGGTTGAAATGTAATTCCAGGAACTCCTTTATAAAAGTTGGCTCAGGTGGCAGGAACACAATGCAGGCAGGAAGTTCAGTGCAGGAGCCAAGCCAAGAGAAGCATGACTTGGGTGAGGGGCCAGTTTAGCAAGGGTTAGGAGGCTCCGTTAACCACCAGGAGCCTAATTAGCCACCAGGAGCCCTTTAAATTTTTTTTTTCTTTATTGATTTTAGAGAGAGAGGAAGGAAGAGGGAGAGAGAGAACATTGATTGGCCACCTCCTGCATGCACCCAACTGGGGATTGTGCCCACAACCTGTGAGCCACACAGCCAGGCACCAGGAGCCCCTTTTAACAGGCACATTCATTCTTAGGGTCAACACAACCAAATACTTAAAAGCCTAAATATACACTCAGATGTGAAATATAAGTCACTATCATTTTCAATAAATTAGTATCAACTTAAGATCTCTGCGAGTCCACAAAACTCTCAGCACTCAAATCCAAGACAAGAATGATAAGACATAAATGAGACACCAACCTCAGTCCTTCAGCAGTCTGGTTATCATGTGAATTAACGTGGAGTGTTTTTTTAAAAAGTCTTTATGTTCACCAGCTTCCTTTTCTATCTTACACCGTACTACCTAAGGATTGTATACACCCTTTAAGTTTCTCCAGGGAATTGTAAATTCCTAAAGGTAAGAGTGATAGTGTTGTAATTAGTTATTAATTAGTTATTAATAATAGGAAAGGAGCAAAGGGAAAGCCACATATTAATAGGCATGTCATTTGGGCAGCTTCAACAGGAAGCTGCAACTTTACACTCCCCAGGGAACCACCAGCCTATTCCCTGCAAAACACTGGGGAAGGATCCAAAAGGGAAGATAGACCCATGATTACTAAAGTTGGGGTGACAGAGGGAAGGTACTTGCCTATCAGTTATACCTGGGAACAAAGATCATTGGCTAGAATGGGCATGGTTACTGCAAATGTACTAAAATTTGGGAATACATAATATCCTAAACAAAGGTGTTCACTCTGTTGGCTTGCTTATGCTCTTGGCTTTCTTGCTGCTCTTGTGCTCTTAGCTTCCTTGTATTCGCCCCTTTGGCACTTGCTCATACAGACCCCACACGCAATTAATTAACAGATTGCAGCAGGAAACATAAGCTAAGCTAGCCTGATGATGGACCAGACAGGGCTCAAACATGGAAAGGAAACTCTGGACATTGGCTCTGTTCTACGGAAGCCCCAGATACACTTCTTTTGTGACAGGACTGAGGGAAATGGGACTTTGGAAACTCAGGCATTTTAATTCCACTGTAATAAAAATCACTTGTTCTCCCGCATGAGTCTCAGAAAATTATTTTTCTTGGACTATGTAAGAATCCCACTCCCAGTAGCAACCTGGGGATACGAGACCCTCTTCCCTCTGTTAACAAGAGCACTTGGCTTTAGGTGTTTCTAGCTCAGATCCTACAGTATATTTGATATACACTGAGATTCCCATAAAGAAAAGGGACATCTCGCCCTGGCCGGTTTGGCTCAGCGGTTGGAGCATAGGCCTGTGGTACAGAGACCCGGGTTCGGTTCCCGCTAAGGGCACGTATCTCGGTTGCAGTTTGTCCCCGGCCCTGGTTGGTCGTGTGGGTGGCAGCCACTCGATGTGTCCCTTCACATCCATGTTTCTCTCTCTCTCTTCCTCTCTCTTCCTCCCCCTCTATCTGAACAAAAAATGGAAAAATGTCCTCGGGTGAGGATTAAAAAAAAAAGAAAAGAAAAGGGACATCTGGTCTCACGCTTCAATCGGCATTGTGTTGTTATCCACCAATCATTAAGTTGTGGATTCTCAGTGACAATTGAATATTTTCTTTTCCAGCTTAAGTTTGTTTTGGTTTTTAATAGTTTTTTTTTTAATTTTTTTTTTTTATTTTAGAGAGAGGAAGGGAGAGGAGAAAGAAGAGAAAGAGGGAGAGAAACATGATGCGTAAAACATGACCTAAGAAACACAGATTGACTGCCTGTGGAATCCAGGGGGACTGAAGCCACATCCTGAGCATGTGCCCTGACCCAAACCGGCAACCTTTTGGTGCACAGGAAAAAGCTTCACTAACTGAGCCACACAGTCCAGCTTAATTTTTAAAAGAGGAGGCCAATCAACTCCAAAACTACACAGTGGTGTAGCCCCAAATGGAAATATAGCGAGTCTGACCAGCCTCCAGCCTCACTTTTTTTTTTTTTTAAACAAATGAGTATACCCTAGCTTTCAGGAAACAAAGGAGTATCAGAGATTGGGTATTAGTGGTTTTGGCGCTCATTCTTTGCACTTCACTACAGTGCCCCAAGAGCAGAAGACAAAGCCAGACTGCAGGGGCCGTGCTGCAGAGCTGGGCCTGAGAACGTTTCCCCGAGGTGACCTGGACACCCAGCAGGAAGAGCACCACGGGGCCCTGCGCACCGAGCATGCGGACACCAGGGAGCGGAGTCGGGGAAAGAGAAGGTCAGTTCAGGCCGCAGTTCCGTCACAGCCAATCGGGTGGACAGAGAAGCAGGACACTGTGACGTGCTGAGGGGAGAGCGGCCAGGGCGGGGCAAGACAACTGGCCCCTGGGCCGTGGGCGCGTGGAGAGGCGGAGGGTGGCGCGGCGCCACGTGTGCGCGCACGCGCCTGAGCGCGCGCCCGGTGGGGCGGGCCGGGACTTGCCGCTCTCACGCCCTTGGGCCGGGCCGGGCGCCGGCTCTGCTTTCCGCTTCCGAGGCACGTTGTCCGTGGAGCCAGCCGGTGTATGTGCGGCAATAACATGTCTGCCCCGCTTCCCGCCGTCGTGCCAGCCGCCCGGAAGGCTACCGCTGCGGTGAGTGGTGGCGGCCGGAGCTCAGAGGTCCGGCTCGGTTCACGGCCCGCGACTGTCCCTCGGGCGGAGTCGACTTCGCAGGCGGGTTGGCAATCTGGCTGTGGACGCTCCGCCCTGACGGGAGGAGGTGGAATGGTTCGCGTCCCGGCCGGCTGTGTGGGGAGAGCGCTGAGCTCGCGGCCGCGCGGAGGGGCAGCCCCGCCACCTCTCCCCGGCCGGAGCCGAGCCCTCTGCATTGCGGAGCGGGGTGGCCCGCGGACTCTGGCCGCCCGCCAGGGCCGCCGTGACCTGCGTTAGTGCAGAGGCGCCCCGATTCGAGGTGGCATTATCGCATGTCTCTCTTGTTTGTGGATGTGGAAGTCCTAAGTCCGCAAAACAGGGAAAAAAAGACTTTTTCTTACCTTGCATTTTCATCCTAAATTAAAGAAGTTTGGAGATTTAGTGTCCTGTAAAATCAGAGGTGCTGTTTTTTAGAAAACTGTACTTAAGGATCTCAAACTTATTTTTATCTCCGGAAGTTCCTTTTTGTGATGGAAAATTCTACAGTATAAATGAGACCTTTCATCGTTTGACTTGAAAGAGACTTTTTCTTAGAATGTGATTATTTGCCCTTAAGAATGTCTAAGTGGGACCTCGTTCCGTGCAGAAACCCCACATCAATTATGGTAGGAACAAAAAGGAGCGAAGTATCTTTGTCATTTAAGAGATGTCTGTAGAGATTAATTAACTTGCTGAAGAAAGTGTTTTGTAATTTGGGCATCTACCTTAACCAAAGCTACCGTGTGTAACAATTCCACATAGGTTTATTTAGGCATTGCTTATTAATTTTCCCTCTTTTCTTCTAGGTGATTTTCCTTCATGGATTGGGAGATACAGGGTAGGTACCATTATTTTAGCAACAGTAATAAAATGGGGTCATGCAAATCTACCTAAGTGATGAAAGGTTTCATATTTACAAACTCTAGGATTGTATAAAAAAAATTGCTAGCGATATTTCTTATAGTCCAGAAATAAGATACAATCTTTTCATTTTTGAAAATCCCCAGAATTTCCCCCTCAACATCTTGAATTTGTCATTTTTCAACTCCTGTTTTTGGAACATATTAAAATTGCAAACTTCTCCTTGAATTGCTTATGGGTTTTGGATAGCAGAGATGGGTGGAATGTTTGAGCTTTCCAGAGGGTTAAAATTTCAGGGCAGGTTTAGAAAAACTGGTTGATTTTGATAAGAGAAACAATAGCAAGGTACAGTCTACAGCATTCTGAGTGAGAGTTTAGATGTTCCTTTAAAAGAAAAAAAATCAGTTGAAGGGCAAGGAAGGGACTCAAAGATTTATTTGACAAACAGATTTTGTTGTGCTAACTTTTGATGAATGGTATATCTTTCACTTAGGCCTTTTCTATATTGAGAGGTTTTGTTTTTAATTTAAATCAGTGATTATGTTTGAAACTTAGGTAGTTGTTACAAAATTGTAGAATTGGCAGAAGACTGAAATAGATACATTTTGATAAACTAGTCAAAAAACTGTTGAATCATCTTTATATGGAGATATTGGGTTAGAATAATTTTTTTCTTCTTTTCTTTTTTTAGATTAATTTTTAAAGGTGATTCCTAATATTCTTTTATGCTTACTAAGTAGAGGTAACGTGACACGTACGTTGTATGGAGTTACAGAAAAGGTTGTAGGACTATTTTCTGGCATCCAGGTAGTCCTGTGAAAATGACAGATTTATTTTACTATTTATTTATTTTATTAAACAGAGGTATAGAGAAGATCTATTTTATAATCAAACACTTCTTGATGCTGAAAGCTGGGGAGGAACTTTGTACTCTGTAAGTTTCCCATTAAAGAGAGTTTCTAGGCCTGAAGAATCAGCCCAAGAGAAAAAAAAATTTTCAGTGTAGGAAGGTTCTCTGTAAACCCCAATTTAGCCAGATTCCATCAGAGTGTAATGATTAAGGAAATGGACACTATGAGATTAAAACTAACCAAGAGCATCCATGACATATTGACTAAGAATAAGTTTATATTAAAAAGTAAAGATCTCCAGTTCTGGAAGTACTTTGTGAGATAACACTAAAGAAAAACTAATTCTAGTTTGGTTCCATGAATTCATGATGAAATTCAGAACGAACCAATCTAACAAGTGGTAATTTATTGTTTGAGATACTTTTGGAGAACTAAAGTACATTTGTCAGGTTAAGTTGGAGGCTGTTGAGATTAAGCAATTCAGTTTTGTCTCATGGTAAGGCAAAGTTACAATGGCTACTGTGTGAGAAGGTATTTTAAGACCCACAAACGAAGCAGGCAACTCCATAGATTATGACGGAATTTACTATAGGATAATTTACTTACTGGAAGATTGGGTTGGAACAGAAAAGACCATCAGTATGCCCAGATTATGCTCCACTAACAGACCCTGACCTGTCACAGTACTTTTTAAATAGGATAACTAGGGCACTGGTGACTGACCAGAAAAAGGGACAAAGAATGCAATAGGATCAGGGGCTGAACCTCCTAGTGGTCTTGTGATATACTCAGTACTTTCACCAGTTTATTTATCTAGGTTGTCATGCTATTCTGGCTGTTACTAACAAAAATATTTATGGCTACATTTTAAGGAACACAGATAATCATGAACTAAAAAGCTTTGATGTTCTTGCTAGAGACAGAGGTTGGTCAAAGGTCACAGTATGAAACTTAAATCTGGGACACAGAGATGAAGTTGGTTTTGCTTACATCTACATTTATACAAGTTTGTTGCTGTAAAAATGGGCAGCTTTTGTTCTTTTTTGTTGAGGTTCTTTGCAGAACCAGCCACGGTGTGTGCAGTCTGGAAACTTAGGTCTTGCAGTCTGTGTTCTTTGGGTTCCTCATGAAAAAAGTAGTGGCCGAATAAAATTGGGAGACTCGGTATAACTACGTATTTTCTCAATTCTAATATGTCATTTTCCCCACAGTTTTATGTTTCTGAAATTGGGGTACTGATCTTACTACATGTGTGTTTATTGTGGTGGTGACTTTTTGGGGGGGGGGGTGTAAAAAACTATTTTTCCATGATGCCTTTTATAATCTCTAGGAAATATGACATGGCATAGTCTCCTTTTGAAGATTTATAGCCAGTGCACTAGCATGTTTAAAGCTCTGAAAAGTTCTGCAGTAAAGAAACATCTGACCACCAAGTGTTCCTGTTCATAACATATATAATAAACTGTGAAACTAGTATTCAAAGAAATATGTTTTAGACCATGTATGAGATCACAGTTTTCCTTGCAAAATAAAAACAGTTTTTGTGATGATTATGAAAATGTTACATTTGTATTTTAAGAAAAAATTTTAATGCACATATGCTTGAGAAAATAATAAAAAATCAGTTAAAGTCCTACAACCTAGAGATACATATTTATTTTTTATTAAATTCTAAAAAATGCTTTATTTGAAATTATTTCAAATTTATAGAAGTTGCAAGAATAGTACAGATTCCTCAATAACTTCTACCTAGATCCACTAATCTCTACCGAATTTGACTGTTTGCTGAACCCTTTGAGAGTAAATTGCAGATATAATGATTCTTTTTTTTAAAAATATGTTTTTATTGATTTTTGAGAGAGAGGAACAGAGAGAGCGAGAAACATTGATGTGAGAGAGAAACATAAATCAGCTACCTCCTGCAAGCCCCCTCACTGGGAATCAAGTCCAAAACCCGGGCATATGCCCTGACCGGGGAATTGAACCGGGACCTCTCAGTTCATGGGACAATGCTCAATCCACTGAGCCACACCGGCTGGGCAATATAATGATTCTTTATTTCCAAACACTTTAGCATGTATCTCCTAAGAACAGGAGAGCCTTTTCTATAACCACAGAACAGTTTTTAGATTCAAGACACTTTGTATTATTTAATATTTAATATTAGTATCTATTACACTGTATATTCACATTTTGCCAGTTGTCCTAGTAATGTACATGATAGTAACCTCCCACCCCCATCCCGCAATTCTCAGTCACAGGATCTCCTGGACCATTCCTCAGCTCTTCTTTATCTCTCATGACACTGACATTTTTGCAGAGATCAGGCTAGTCCCTCAATTTAGGTTTGTTTGATATGTCCTTATGATTAGATTCAGTTTGTGCATTTTTGGTATAAATACCATATAGGTGATATGTTCTGTTCATTGCATCACATTAAGAGACAGTGATGCACTTTGTTCCATTATGGATGCTAATTTGGATCACTTGATTAAGGTGATACCTTCCAAGTTTCTCTACTGCAGTTGTTTTCCCTTGTTTGGTAAAAAGTAAGTTGTGGGGCCCTGGCCGGTTTGGTTCAGCGGTTAGAGCGTCGGCCTGCGGTCCAGAGAGATCCGGGTTTGGTTCCCGCTAAGGGCATGTACTTCGGTTGCAGTTTGTCCCTAGCCCTGGTTGGTCATGCGGGTGGCAGCCATTCTATGTGTCCCTTTCACATCCATGTTTCTCTCTCCCTCTTTCTTCCTCTCTCTCCCTCCCACTCTATCTGAACAAAAAATGGAAAAATGTCCTCAGGTGAGGATTTAAAAAAAAAAAAAAGTAAGTTGTGGGGAGATACTTTGAGATGATACAAATATACATCAGACTTTCACCTAATATTTTTATAACATCAACTGGTAATTCTTGGCTCGAATCAGTGGTTACTGTGATGTGATTTTCTAACTGTCACTTGTAAGTTTATTAGTTTGCCCTTCCCCATTTACTTAGTATAGACTCAGATTTATTTAATGGGTTATATTCCATTATTGTTATTATGTTTTAAACTTTTCTTTTAGAAAAACTTTAGACTTATATAAAAGCTACAGAAATAGTATTTACAGCTCCTTATACCCTTCACTTAGATTACACAATTTGTAACATTTCTGAAACTGCCTCATTACTGCATAATACTTCAGTGTATATTTTGTATGTACAAGGACACTCCCGTATAACCACAGAATAACGATCAGTCAAGAAGTTTACATTGATTTAATACTACTATTAAATTCACCAACCTCAGTCACATTTCCTTGGTTTGTGTCAGTAATGGGTCTGGGACCCAATTTAGAATCTTATTGCATGTAGTTATGTTTCCTTAGTCTCTTTCAGTTTAGAGCAGTCTTTCTTTGTCTTTAATGACTGACACTTCCAGAATACAGGCCAATTGCTTTGTAGAATGTTCCTCAGTTTGGGTTTATGTGATGTCTCCTCTCATTTAAACTTCTTGGCAGGAACAGAAGCATTGCTGTATTTGTCTCAGTGCATCGTATCAGGCACACACTTGATTTTTGTATCTTTACTGGTGATACTACATTTTATCACCTGGTTAAGATAGTGCCTGCCAAGTTTACCACAGTAAAGTTAATACTTAAGAAATATTTTGTGGGACATACTTTGATATTATGAAAATATGTGTTTCCTACCAAATTTTCATCCATTAACCATTCCTGACTGAATCTATTATCATGATAGTTGCCAAATAACGATCTTTTAAAATTTTTTGTTCTAAATTTATTTATTGGCAGTCTACTTTGGGGTAGAGCTTTCTCCCTTATTTATAATGTATGCATGTATTCATTTATATGTTTAGAAATTTTAAATTAGTACAGACTCTTGAATTTCTGTTTTACTCTGAAGGTTACTATCTGTTGTTAAATCTATCATTATTTATTTTGATACTTAACCTGTCCTATTTTTGGCCAGTGGATGCCCCTTCAAGCTGGCTCTTCTGTCTTTGGGACATGTCCCATAATTCCTTGAGCAGTTTCTTGTTTTTGGTGCAACAGGATCTTTTCCAGAATTATCTTCTGTTTTTCCTGCCTCAGTCCTAGATTCAGCCATTTTTTTCAAGAGCCCTGGCACCTTTTAG